GTACCCAATAGTTCTANTTGTACATATGTTCACAGTTGTACCCAGTAGTTCACAGTTGTACCCAGTAAATCTAGTTCAATTTTTAGATTCATGAAATTTTCTATTTAGTAATTGTAACCGTTGAACTAGATGACATCGAAAATTTTAAGGAGATTTAAGCCACCGTTGAACTAGATGACATCGACGATTTTAAGGAGATTTAAGGAGATAACCGTTGAGATCTAACTCGACGACTTTCATGGAATTAAAGTCTATGTAACTAGCCTGAAGAATCCAATAAATCTATCTCATCCCATAAAGCTTCCATAGACCCACGAGTTCTCTTATGAATGGTCATAATCCTCTGCAAGTTACGGTCGCCGCTTTTAGAACCGATGGCTTGTACATGATTGTCCGTTCATATTCAATTTTGTGATAGTGTGGCTGGAAATTGGTGGAAAAATCATTGACGATTTGGACAAGGACGCCATCGGAAAGATATAGAAGCATAAGAAGATAATTTTGAAAGAAACTAATGGATTAGATCCTAGTTTGAAGAAGAAGATGAAGATTGCGAAGAAATAAAAAAAATATATATATCAGATCTCTGACTATTAAGAATTAAATTTTGTAATTGGTCTAATTGGGTTGGATAAAAATCGGATCTGGGTGGATAGCAAGTGGTTGGATCGGTAATTGAAAAGAATTTGTATGGTTTTTTTTTGTTCTTTAGTTAGTTTTAACTTAAAAAATAAAACACAATAAATCCATAATATATCAGGAGCTTTTGTTAATTCAACTTTATTTTAAGGGTCATAGGAGATTTTGATGCTGTTCGAGAACAGCTTCGCTCGATTTACTGAGAAAAGTAACCCAGAAAGAAAGAAAGAAAAATTCGTACTTTGGATTTGGAACTGTTTTAATTTCATCACTTTGTTCGCATATTTCTTTTTGTTTCTTCTCCAGCTGCTAGCTATATCACTGATAATAGTTTCAGTTTTTTAAAAATTTGTTTCATCTATGGAAATTTCTTCTTTCTCCACTCTACCCAGATTCTCTTATTCATGCTCCTCTGTTATAGGTTTCTTCTCCGTTTCGCAATTCCCAAATTTTCCTTATCCGATTTCGAGGAAGACTTATGTATTTTTTTCGATTCATATTGCAGAATCGTCTCGCTTCAGAGGATGCAAAGTCCACTTATGGGACCAATCTCTTGTTTATGTTCAATTAAGCATACGAAATAGAAGAACCCCTCGTCATTTGGTGGGTTTTCTAGTGTTAAACGATTTTAGTTTCAAATTAAATCTTTTGGGTTTTGCTCAATCTTCTGTATCAACTGGAATTTAATCGGTTCTTGCAGATTTCCTGCAGTCAGAAGAGAGATGTTTCTGTTGTTGATGGAAGGTATAACCTTTAGATCAGCTTATTCTAGACTAGTTTTGTGTAATTGAGGAATTTAGAGTTCGGGTCTGTTTCTCCTCAATCTTCTAGTCATTCATTATAGCTGTTCTAGATCAGTCTTTGCTTATGAATGATCGTATCTATTGTTTTGTTTCTACCAAAGTATTAAGACATTTTTTTTTTTNTNTTTGGAAGTTGTATGGATGAGATATATGATAAGTTGGCAGAACGTCTTGTCCCTACATCAGCATCAATGTTTAGCCCCAATGTTAAGTAAGTTTGCTACTGTTGGGAAAATGATGTTTTAACTGTTCTTTAGCTGCGCCCGAGCATTTTCGATAACTCTTTATTAACTATACGTGTTGATTCGCCTAGACATTTAGTCGGTTTGGCTGGTCCTCCTGGTGCTGGGAAAAGCACATTAGCAAAGGAAGTAGTACGTCGTGTAAATAGGATATGGCCTCAGAAAGCTTCTTCTTTCGATGATGAGGTTAATCCGCCGGATGTCGCTATAGTACTTCCCATGGATGGGTTTCATTTATACCGTTCGCAACTCGATGCAATGGAGGTTGAGCTTAAACTTATATTTTGATGAGTTATA